TTTGAGTACAATAGGGTAGACAACTCTTAGTTACTTGATCAAACTTGCAAAACACACTTGCCTACTTTCAAAACACACTTCACAAACACAACTTTCAAAACAACTTTCAAAAACATTGAAAAACTTTTCAAAAGACAATACACCTTTGTATACATTCAAACATGGATCATTACAAAGGTTGCCACAACAAACGGCCTCTTTTCAAAACCTCTTTCAAAATCACACACAAAGCACCATTTCAAACAATTGAAAATGCAAGGCAAGTGATCTAAGCAAGTAACTAAGAGCCCATGGATAACCATGGATAGAAAGGGTGCTAATACCTTCCCTTTCTATAATCTACTCCCCGAACCCATGAAAACATCTCAAAGGTTTTTCCTATGCTTTTTAACCTTTCCTTAGGATAAAATAAAAAGTCGGTGGCGACTCTTGCTAAACCGAAACATTTGCGAAAACAAACACAAAACCTCAAGTCAGTTCTCCCACCGTATCACACCCACTATGCTACACATAACAACCTATCATACATCATAGTCATCCAAACATCATATTCGAACATCATATTTATCTCAATCATCATGGTACACTTCATATTCATCATAATATCACAAATCACTATAAAAGGATCACATATAATCATCAAGACATCAAACACTTCACATTGACTCATGTAATCACACTAAATTAATCAATTAAATAATTAATCTAGAATTTGGGGTGTTACAGCCCTCACCGAAGTTTCTTCTGGAAAGTTTCCACTCTTTATACATGCTCATGCAATGGCCTTTATACGATGACATGCAGGTAACACGTCAACGACATGATTTTCCTTATGATGTTCCTCCTCTAATATTTTTTGATGAGATGGCCTTTGGTGATCTCTGTGAGAATCTAGTATCATGTAAGTATGTGACACTCTAAAATACCACTAGATGTAGCTGAACACACTATTACATTAGCAAGAAGTTGTAACATTTCATGCTCCATTCAACATCTTTACAAACCATATTAGGAGGAGCTTACATGAAGGGGTCTCTTGGAACAACATATAAATACCTGAACAAGCGCATGAACCGCTCAGGAAAATGTGGATACATCATACGTGACCCATAAGTCAACCATCCAAAGTAAAAGGCTATATCATCCATGGGCTGCGTCTGACGGTGGGCATCATATTGTGTGTAGCTGATATCATTTGTTGTAGTGCGATCAAGAAACACTCTAAAGGACTCGATCGCCTAATTCCCTCTGAGCATGATGAGTGCACATGCATGCGACAGATCCTCAGTGTAGTCTTTAACATATGATCAACTAGAGATACATGGAAAGTGTTGGAGGATTCATGCCTAGAAATGGTACAATTGAATTGTTAGTAATGGTGTAGTACAAGTGTTACGAAAATGGTACAATAATAGTAAAGGTGAAAATACATTACCATAAACACCATGCAACTAGTTGTCATGTGTTTGGTCTTCTAAAGACAACCTTTAATTAACTTCTAGAATAGATAAACCAAACAAGCGGCCCCCAGTTGTACTCATGAATCTGCTCGAATTCAATAAAGTATGTGAGGTAAACCACATTGACGTAACATGCATTCTTGTCCATAAATATGGACGTGACAAATAAGTACATGAGGTATGACCTCAACGCATATGCTTTATGATGCATAACCTGTGGATCATCATCATCATCATCTCCCTCCACTACTGCATCCAGGTGTTGTACATATAACTTCTCCAAGAATGCAAACCGAACATGACACTCTTTAATGTCTTCCAGCTCCTTTAGGGCGTCACCAGGGTCAACTCCCAAATAGGTCACCATTATCTCCAGTGCATAAGGCATGGTCATCCTGAAGTGGTCTAATAATTTTCCCTTGATCGAAATATGTAACTTGGATGACACATCATACAATGTAATGGACATCTCACCATGAAGAATATGAAAAGATGAAGTCTCAAAGTGTCATCTCTCAGCGAACGTTGAAAACATACTATGGATAATATTAGTATAATTGGTCATGCATAAATTTTGCATCATGAAATCACCGCTCCTCAGGTTGTTGCAGCCTCATAATCTTCCTACCATGGTTGATGAATTTTAAAGCATCATGATACTGCAAAAAATACATCATCATCAAAAAATTTGAATATTATAATACATGTGTTTTAAAGAATAAATACAAATAAATTTTACCTCTCAGTTGCACACGTGCCTAGCAGCATGGTCTATATACAAGAGGCATCAGTGAAGTGCCATAGGGGCCTCCTCCAAATTCTTCAGGAACTGAAGCAGGTACGTCAACATGGATTTGTGGGGATTTCAGGGTAGCAGCATGTGACACCCACCTTCGAGAAGACGAAGTCGGTGACACCTTAACCCCAGAAGTTGACGTTTCTGCATCAAATGAACTAGAACCAATTGGTGGTTGTGAGGGTTAGGCTTTTTCCCTCCTAAAATATGCATGCTAGGACACTCTATCATGCCTCAATTATTCTTAGTTGTCATCCATGTTACCTATGATTAAACTAAACAAACTAGACAAAGCATAAAAAATCAAATTCAAATGAAAGGCATTAAAAATCATACTAAACAATGCAGACATACATAATACAAAAGTAAAATACCTAACAATGAGTGCAATTACCTATATAGTAATGCGGATTACATGATCTAATGTTCATATTTCTTAATGCATGTAGAGAAGAAAAAAAACTTAGATTGAAAAACTTACCAAATGTGTAGTTGAAGTTGAATCACTTGGATTAAATGGATGTTGGCAACCACTTAGATTGAATGGAGTAGAAACATCACTTGGATTGAATGGAGTGGAAATTAACTTGAATAAAGAAGCTTGATAAGTGATTTAGAGTGTTTTGTTGGAAATGAGGAAGGAGAAAAGGTTTGGTGCATATTTTATTAAAACCCCGTCCAAATGTATATTTCTGTAAGTTTTTATGGAGATGCATTTTCGTACTAGTTTTTTTACAAAAATGAGAGTGTGACTCATTTACGAAGAGGTGTGGTATGGAATAGGGTGCGTTCATAAATGCATTTCTGGTTTTTCAAAAGGGGACGTGAGCAAACTAATACCCTGAATTATTTCATTTTTTCTAATTTTCAATTCAATGTGTTATTTCATTCAACGTAGAAACTAAATTGCATAAAGCTAATAAATAAAGCTAATAAAAAAATCTATTTTTATTATTAAAAAATACGCCTAAATTAAAAAATTGGAAAACCTCATTTGATAACAACCTGAATAACAGAGAAAAAATAGAGAGGGAAAAAATTATAAACCAAGATCATCATAATTACAAACTTAATAAAATAAAATCAAAATCAAAATGTCTAAATTGTATAATATATGCTCTGATATTTCATGTTAAAATAGAATCCTTATTACATGACATTAGAATACACTTACTTGTTGAAGTTATGATAATCAATTCTTTAGAATTTAGAATAATTGAAGTATTAAACTAGGTCTTACTTTGACTGATTATGTGCTTTAATATTTGAGGTTGTCATTGGGGAAAACCTCAATTAAGTGTATTTCAAATGGGAAAGGGGCCTAATCTATCCATTTATAAGATAAAAACTCTAGCATCACTTTTCATGGGCTGAAACTGGACCTACACTTTGTTCTACACAAATTAGAAGGGGTTGCTCTTTGCACCCTTAGTAGTGAAGAGTCACCCTTATGAAACCTGAAAATTCCCTTGGTGTAGTCCAGAAGTTAAATTTCTGACGCCCCTAACACACACCAAAACACTTCATAAGTGAGTCACTCTCATTTTACCAAAAAAAAGTACGGAAAGTCAAATTTCGTACTAACCCATTGGACACGTTTTGAACTCGTGATAATGTGTTTATTTCAAAACTTAGTGGATAATATGGAAGTTAATTTTGGTATTAATCCTCAGGACAATAAGTTTCCCTCTTGGACATTAAATTTTCCCTAAATTTTGCAATAAGTTTCCCTCATAGGAAGGTTGGACTTCTGGGGCAGCAATAGGGGATACATGCCTCTGGAGATACGTGAACTCGGGAAAATGATGATTCTGCATCAAATTAAGTGACAACAAAATATGGATGTGAGGGTCTAGTCTTTCCATCCAAACAGAAGCATGACGGGCCACTCTACCATATCTCAATCTTTCTTGGTTGTCAAACATTTTACCTTTAACTAAACCAGAAAAATCATATCATAATCAAAGAAGTCAAACACGGGGGGATATAACTGACAAAATCAAATAAACTATGCATGTTTGGAAAGTCCATAAGTTAACTTCCATACCAAGTGAAACTAGAAAAACATATAATTTGTTTTGCCTTGGGTATGAGACTTGACTGTTGTTGCATTTTAGGTGCATCTGGAGTTTAAGTCCTAGATTTTAGGGGCATTATTGATTTTTCATTGTGGAGGGTAAGCACCACTAAGGGTGCATAGAGAAATCCTCAATCACAATTAGTGTTCAAAGTCAAATGTTATAATACTTAAGCATTTTCGAATGGATCGCATTTATAACATCAATTGTTTTGTGAAATCAAAACTTACAATTGATTAAAACCCACAAAAATATTTCTAAGATTTATATGCAATTATAGGCATCCATTTTATAGACTATAGTTGAGAAATCTATATTCTAGCATACCATTTGAGAAAAGTTTAGTTTACTCACCTTCATGTCATCGGCGCCAAAATCAAGATAAGGATACACTTTCATGTTAGAAAGAAAAATCGACGACACAAAAAATAACTAAACCACCGAGATATTGTGATGCATGACGACCATGAGATCAAAAGCTTCTAAATTGACATCAAACTTGCACCTCTCCATCAAAATTTAACCTAAACTAGTTCGATTGGGTTGATTAGGTGTCCCTTTGACCAGAATCTCTAAACTTGAGTTCGGTTTGTGAGCGAGCATGTGACCAAACTTGTCATCATCAAGTTTTTTTCTAAGGAGGCTTAACCATCAAGTTTGGAGACAATGATCACGATGTTTCCTAGAGCCTTTTTTGGAGCTTTGAGGAAACGAGGTTCGACAAAAGGGCACCAGAAAATGTGAGGATGGAATCCATCAGTCGCATGATCAAGATTTGATAGCCAGAGAACTCTAAGTCCATGTGTCTATTATTAAAGAAAAAAAGTACACCAAACATTATAATAAATCAAAAGTAAATTAATAAATAAATTAAATCCTCTAAAAATTTATGAAACACCGTCAGTAGCGTCGTTGTCGTCTCCACCAGTAACAATGTTATGTGACTTCAACTTGTGATTCATGTCAGTTTTACTGAACCCCACAGTATGTGACATTACAATGTGTAAAGCACATCAGTATGTACCAAACGATGGGGATTTTGTTTGCAAATGTATGAAATATGTGATCCTAACCTAGCTCTTTGGACATATATGTAGTAGAGTCGGCCATCTAGGAAACACCAATTTGAGATGTTGAAACACACTTGATGAATATTTTTTGGTGAATTCTTATCTACACTACTAAAAAATTTGGGTAAAGTTACCTTAAGTGTGAAATGCTTTGAAAACAATAAACAATTGTATCATTTAATAAATAATTAAATATGTTAAAATTAAATAGTATCTTGTGATTGGTTGAAAGTACAATATCCAACTTTTTGTGATGGGTAGAGAAGTTGTCCTCTCATTTTTCATCATATTAGATGATGTGATGAGATAGGGGTTGATGGGCCAAGACAAATAATATTAAAAGGGTTATGTACATCCCAGAAATCACAGGGCTGACCGAGTATTGTAATCGGCAAGGAGAAAGGATAAAGCAGTAGTCGATTCAGTGTGAAGGTACCCGGGGTATAACTCGGCTAAGGGAGTGTCCGACGACCCATGGACCTAGGTAGCAACTCGTCGTCACCATCGACCCAGGGTAGGTAGACGGGAGGCACTTGTCTGTAACTGATCATCATCTCGAATCATTAAAGCCAATAACCGCCGACAACACATTCACTACTATGTTACATAGCACTAATCATCTTCGTTCATGGAGACGGTAATGGTTACGTAGTTATGGAACTCAAGAGTCACTCATTAACTGAGACTCTTGATGAAGCGAAGATACTCACTATATAAAGGGGCTCCCGACAGAGGGTAAGCAAGATATTCATCTTGGGACACACGCATCACTGTCGTAGCTTCCAAATCCCCAATCATCTTATAAACTCACTCCGATAGACTCTCCCTATCAACCTCCTGGGAAGTCGGCCAGATATTTGTTCCATACAGGAACAAGTTAAATATGTTTTAGGTCCCTTTAAATATCTTAACTTTCGCTTTTAGCCCCTCTAAAATTTTCCTTCAAACAATGGTCCTCATAAAATTTTCCATCCACAATTGTGGTCTCTACTGTCAACTTTCATTAACAGAAGCTGACGTGGCACGTCACGTGGAAGAAAGTTTGACAAAAAAATCTTAAACTGCTTGAAATTGCGGGGGTTTAAACCTCCTCTAAACCCAAAAAAAAAAAGATATTGGCTTTGAACTTTTGTCAAACACCTTACGAGCAAGTTTTACAAGAGCGATTATAACACATAAATTCATCAATAACAACCAATTTATACAATAATCAGATAGACAACCAATTTATACAATTCATTAATGACAACTAACACATAAACACCTTCATTGAAGATTTCTATCAAACACGCCACTCGTTAGCTGAGCGGTACAATCAAGTCAAACCTGACACAGAAATCAACCACCTCGTGTCTGGATCACCTTTTGCTTTGGCCAAGTATCAGATAGAGAAATTGACGAGTATTGAGGATACCAGTTATGATACCTATTCTGGGAATTTCGACGTGGATGAGCCGGTGGAATCTGAAATTGATGATCCTGAGCAAGAATTAATGAATCTAAAAAAGGAGATTAAGAGAATAAATGAAGAGAATGAGATTCATAGGGATCAATTGAAACATAAAGATAGTGTTTGTGATGAAGTAAAAACGTTGAGGGAAGAGAATGAGGCAGAAATGGAACAAGTGGAGCAAAAGAATGAAGAGAAGATATAGGTGATTAAACAATTGAGTTTAGCAGTAGACTTAGATAATGTGAGCATGTCAATAAGAAATGGAAATTTCCATTTGAGTTCAACAAACTTAGTTGAGCATTTTCTGTGAAATTATTTAATGGGACTCCAAGGAATTAGCATACTAGTGCTTATCCTGTTAACCGCAGACTGTTGCTTATTGTTTTTCTGGTGATATTTAACGGAATCTCGTCCGGTTTAATATTAAAAGTACTCTCTTATTACTTATAAGAAGAATGTCGAAGATTCATTTGTTACGGCGGTATTTAGTGTCTTGAAACGTAGTCTTGAGAAATGAAAATGTCTTTGCTTTATTTTGTTCTTGAAATGATTTTTTTTTCCATTTTGCCCTGAAATGAATGTAGGTCTGTAAATGCTTATTATCACAAAGAATCCAAACTCTCGAGGCAAAGTTTTTCCCAGCATTTGAATATGAACTTGAAAATGATAGTTCTGCATCCAAAATAAAACGATATCGGCAGTGATGATGCTGGAACGATACAAAGGCAGGCTGCAACAAGAACAATTCATGTTGGAACATTTCAAGAAATGAGAATGTCGCCATGTTCGGGGATGACATTAATGTGATATTAGTTGCATAATTTACGTCATATGTGAAAGATATTGAATAAATTGGTTGACATTTGATAATTTATGTGTTATAATCGCTGTTGCAAAACTTGCTTCAGAATCAATATATTTCTTCTTTTTTTGGGGGTTTGTTTAAGGGGGGTTTAAAATCCCGCAATTTCAAATATTTACAGATTTTTGTCAAACTGTCTTTCACGTGGCGTGTTACGTCAGCTTCCGTTAATGAAAGTTGACGGCAAAGACCAAAATTGTGGATGAAAAACTTTATGAGGACTATTGAAGGAAAATTTTAGAGGGACTAAAATCGAAAGTTGAGATATTTATAGGAACAAAAAACATATTTAATCTATATATAAACAAGCTTAAATTATGATAAATACAATCTAATATCCTATTTAATTTATAAGGTATTATTATAAATTGTTTTTTTTATTTTAAGTGTTTTATTTTGGTTATTTTAAATACTATGTTTTATTATGTGTACTATTTTATCCAATTTCATTCTAGTTTTTGATCTAACCTGATCAGACTTGGACCGTCACGGCTGGCTCCGAGCTAAAGTTTTGAACGAGGTGGGGGGGGGGGGGGGGTGCCCCTGCAAGGCACTCCGATGCTAAAGTAAGTAAGAGCACGAGCAGGCAAGAGTATGAGTATGGGTAAAAGAATGAATACCTGACCCTCTGGGAACATAGGGTATTTATAGCCCCCAGCGTTGGGCCAAGGTTCCCTCATTGGGTCGGGCAAGTTTGGCCCAATGGAGGAACTGCCAGGTTCTACGTGCGTAGTGGGGACCCGCACGTGGTCCCCTTCCTAGATGTCCTGCGTGAAGTACGAACGGACGAGGACGCGGTCTTTTCGGGATCTAGGTGATGGCGTAGTGGATAGAGTCTGCCCTAGGAGGGGTGCTCGAGCTGAGGTCAAGCAGGGTAGCATGGAGTCGAGGACGTCGTACTAGCAGAAAGTGCCGGGTAAGGGTATGGCCTTTTGGTCGGCGTGACCCTTTGCAAGACCGTTTGGATTGGGTCTTCACCATCGCTTTTGGGTCAGCCCGGCCCAGTCCAGAACAGGAGCCCCCCAAGTCGTGGTTCCTGTAGTACGTCGCCATTGATCTAACCTGATCAGACTTGGACCGTCACGGCTGGCTCCGAGCTGAAGTTTTGAACGAGGGGGGGGGGGTACCTGCAAGGCACTCCGATGCTGAAGTAAGTAAGAGCGCGAGCAGGCAAGAGTATGAGTATGGGTAAAAGAATGAATACCTGACCCTCTGGGAACAAAGGGTATTTATAGCCCCCAGCGTTGGGTCAAGGTTCCCTCATTGGGCTGGACAGGTTTGGCCCAATGGAGGAACTGCCAGGTTCTACGTGCGTAGTGGGGACCCGCACGTGGTTCCCTTCCTGGATGTCCTGCATGAAGTACGGACGGACGAGGACGCGGTCTTTTCGGAATCCAGGTGATGGCGTAGTGGATAGAGTCTGTCCTAGGAGGGGTGCTCGAGCTGAGGTCGAGCAGGGTAGCATGGAGTCGAGGACGCCGTACTAGCAGAAAGTGTCGGGCAAGGGTATGTCCTTTTGGTCGGCGTGACCTTTTGCAAGACCGTTTGGATTGGGCCTTCACCATTGCTTTTGGGCCAGCCCGGCCCAGTCCAGAACAATTTTTAAATTTGATCAAATTGTTCTTGAATAAACATTTGTACTATTGATCTTGGGTCCATTTGTTTTAACTTAAATAAATAAATTTTTTTTTATTTTCAAAAGTGATTTTTACAAAAAAAAACTATAAATATTAAAAGCTTTTTTAAATTTATTTTTTATAAATGAAAAGACTAATTTTGACATTCGATAATATAAATATATATAATATAGTTAAAATGACAATTTATTTTCAATAAGATGTATCTTTAAAATGATTTTTATAAAAATTATTTTAAATTTAAGTGATATTTTAAAACTTTAATATACAAAATATATATATATATATATATATATATATATATATATATATATATATATATATATATATATATATATATATATATATATATATATATATATATATATATATATAAATTCAACAAATATATGTAACATTGTAAAAATAATTTTTTAAAAAGCGAAACAAACTCGTATTAAATTAAGTTTGTAATGAATTTTCAAAATATTTATTTTATGTTGGAAATCTATGATTTTGTTTGATTTATCTATGAATTTTAGCTCAATCTTATTAATTTATTACTTATTTACTTGATAAACATTTTGATCTTAGGTTAAACTGATTTAACCTTAAATAGGAAATCTCGCCAATTGAATTTTAATTCGATTTTTAAAATATTAATATAAAGTGATAGTAAACTATAATGAATTGAGAATTTCTTTTCCTGCCCTGAGAGGTTCTCCGTAATCTTTGGCGAAAAGTTAAAAAAGTCTTGAGTTTTCAGAGATGAATCTCCGGACACACCGTTTTCACACAAAATAAGAGAAAATTGTTAAATTTTCCTCATTTTGTCAAAATTTAATTTGGAGATGTATCTTCGTATGTGTTTTATAGTTTGTTCGCAGATGCATCTCTGAATTAACCCTTATTTTCAAATTCAGGTTTTATTTCGAAGATGCATCTTCGAATGTGTTAAATGGATATATAATGCATTCCAGACCTTCCCTTTTCTCCTTATTCATTTTCTAAAACTTTTGAGAACCCTCATTGGAGCTCGTGAACAACATTCTTCCGGTGAATTTTTCAAGGAACAACAATACCTTTATTTCAATCTTTCCAATCCTAACTCACTCCACCTATTACATTCAATATTTTTCATCTTCATCAATATTTTTTAGTAAGTTTTTCATTTAATTTATTTTTAGTTTTGATTAATGTATTAGGTAAAATAATTTTTTTAAATGTATTAGGTAGTAGTCACATTTGAAATAGATAGTTGGTTGATACATGCACTATGATTTGGTTACATTTTGGGTTGTTAGAGCAAGACATGTATTTGTTTCTGCCAGTGATGCAAAAATGAGCTAATTCAAAGATGCATCTCCGAATTGTGTCATTTTTAGTTTTCGGAGATGCATATCCGAAATTACATGGATGCAAACAAGATGTCTTTTTCTCGTTTTTTAGGAAAAATGGTTGCAAACAACAATGATGTAATGTGACTCGACCATGAAACCCAACACGCGTTTGTTCGACGTGAAAGGGTTAGACTTCAAAATGAGAAGGCTAGAGCTAGACGGGGAACTATTCCTAGGCCTCTTAACGGGGAAGCATCAACTTCTAGGATTCGCTTGTCACAAGAGTCCTCATCCCAGGGGCACGTCTCCCCTACTCACGTATACCAGGAGGAAGCTCTTGCGTCAAATGATGGTGTCCATTCACTTTCAGACCCTTATCCAAGAGATCCCTCTGACACCTCCTTACTAATATACTATAAAGATCATGTTGTTGGACATGTCTGGGAAAGAAAGGTATATTTGTTAACAATTGTTATTTATATGATTTAAACAAATTCCATGTAATTTATATTGTTATATTTTTTAACAGGAGTGCAGTTGTTTGAAGTATGTTAACCATAACAGAAAGATTTTGAAGTTTTATCAGCCTAAGGATGATTGGTTCCAAAGAGTCATTTGATACTCCAGTTTTTCGGCCCGTGTTCTTTCAAGTATAAGACTATTAGCCATGGCATGTAGGGGCTTTTGCTGAGAGATGGCATAAAGAAACATCATATTTCCACTTCCCCAGTGGCGAGATGACCATTACACTATATGACGTTGTTTTCCTTCTACACCTTTCCATTAGGGGGTAGTTACTTGATCATTCCAGAATCAAATGCGATGAAGCCCATGAGATGATGGTCATTTATTTGGGAGTTGGCCCAACGTATACCCTGATGCAGTGTGACAACACTAAAGGTGTTCATGCCAAATTTTCATACTTGAAGGAGCTATATGAACGAAACTTGGAGTTGGTTGGTGATGTCGGCGAAAATGAACTAAGGCTACCTACCACTGAGAGTGTGTTTTGAGGTGTTTCCTTCTATTATTGGTTGGCACACCCATGTTTGTGGATAAAAGTGAAACCTACGTCGATGTGACATACCTTAAGTATTTCATCGACTTGTCGGTCATTCACGAGTGGAACTGGAGGCCGTGTGTTTGGTATACTTGTACTCTAAGCTGGGAGAAAGTTCTCTTTGGACGATAAAGCAAATGACAGACTCTTGCACCCTGGTGATGGTAATTTCCATAGCCACAATTAATTTTAAAAGCACTTTTTTACACTTGTTACTAATATTTTTTTCTTATTCATTTTCAGGGATGGATCATATCCCACTTTCATTACATACACGGGTTTGATCATGTGTTGGAGTATATTGAGGATTGGTCACACACTTGTCTGTATTTCCCGAGAAGAGGGAATGATGTTATACGGCCGTTTCATAAGTATATCGATCGGACTCAACACAATGACATCGATTAGACACCATACACCATTCATTGGAACATTGTTTCATTCGACCATATTTCATATTACTCCGGATAGCTGGCATGTTAGAGGAATTTGATGTGCATGTATCTCTTAGAGTGATGCTTCAGTCAGTTAGGATATGTGCAGATCATTCAGAGATCCTCATTCAGTGTTGCTCATAACAATATCGTTCGCAGACATCTTAATGACATACTGGAGGATTACGAGAGTCATCTGGTACCAGAGGAGAAATAGAGTATTCCAGCCACAAGTCAGTGGTATTATGTTGACAGTTATATGACTTGGTTCTATAGTGTGTCATACCTTGTCATGACACCAGATACTCTAGAATATCCACCTAGGTATGCTCTGTTGAGAATAAAGTTTGAGGAAGAAGTCCTACATTGATTAGAAAAGGGAAGATTGAGAACTTTATAAGTGAGAGAATTCAAACATCTATTACCTTAAGGTTTTATGTGAATATGTGGTGTATCTCTCGCTTGTGTGTTGATCTTGGTCCAATATTAAATGCTCCCTCGTGTTGAAACCCCCCCCCCTCGAATTGCTTCCAACAGTGGTATCATGAGCCTTTGGTTTCAAGTGAAGGGACTGAGGTGGTGGATAGGAGGTGTCTCGTTAAAGAGTGTTAACGGTGGTACAAGTGTATGTGGAAGAAAGAGCTTCCACTTAATGGGGAGAATTAGACTCACACTTGAGGGTGGGTGTTGAGAATCAAGTATGTGGAAGAAGTCTCACATTGATTAGAAAAGGGAAGATTGAGAATTTTATAAGCGGGAGAACCCACACACCTATTATCTTAAGGTTTTAGGTGAATATGTTGTGGATGCATTTCTCTTTTAGATGTTTTTCATGATGTCAAAACTAGGAATTGATTTAGTTTTTCTATACATTGAACGATATCTCTGAGTATTTGTGTGCACCATTGCATTAGAAGTCATTAGGAACCTTAAAAAGCATATATATCAGGTTTGGTTTGGTTATCCATTAGTCTCATAAAAGAAAAATCAATTTTTGCAAAAAATTCATGTGTATGTGTCGACATATTTGTGCTTCGTGTCAGCACATGTGTTGATGCTTTAAGCAAATGATTCTTTGGAAGTTTGTGTCGATTCATCCTTTTGTTCGTGTCACATGCCTTCAAAACTATCTTGGGTTATCGCCGGTAAAAGAGGAGCCAGTGGGTTATGATTAGACATATGTAGTAGGATGTCTTTTTTTTTTTTTTTTGTATTTTGGGATGTTTTAGTATTATTTTCCATACTTTGAGAACAATGTTTGTAATATTATGAGATGTTTTTTTAATTAATGCATTGTCTTATTCTATGATGTTCGTGTTTATTAATGTTTGAATCAAATTATTGTACTGTTAGTCGGATTAAAATGACTTTGGATTTAAAAAAATACAAACTTAGACAATACTTCTACTCAAGATACATGCATGAAAGTTTTCGGAGATACATATCTGAAATAAGAGTTTTCGAAAATACATCTCCGAATTCACTCTAAAATTTTTTGCAAGTGCATCTCCAGACCAATTTTTTGCAAAAATGAGTGACTACTTGACTTACGAAAGATGAGAAGATTTAAGATGCATCCGAAAATACATCTCCGAAAATTTCTGAAAACAATTGAGTTTTCAAAAGTGTGAATCACAATTAAAAAAAAAAAAGAAATTCCTAATGAATAACACCAAAATAATAGGAAAATAGTTGTAACATTTTAAGGTAAAATTAAATATTCATCCAAATCCTACGTGAATAAAAATAAGTAGAACAAAGTGGACATACTTCTTTTAAGCCATAAACATTTTAGATCATAGTTAATAATTAACATGCAATCCCCCGATCATAAAAGGCGAGGTGATAATATACACGAATTACAAACCCCACTGTTGAGCAGAAATTTCAAATTTCTGATAAATAGAATAGCTAGCAGCAGCTAGCCTAATTACAACAAATAACTCGTTCATCTTTCCTACTGCTATCTCATTCTTTCCTTCTTTTTTTACTGTTGTATTTTCCTCATTTTTGATATATAGTTAGCAATGCCCTTAATACAGTGCATGGATCAAAGCCAAACCCAATAGGAAAAAAAAAATCAACTCATCCTAGTACTGTTCCTTCTTCCCCACCACTTCTTCTTAGCTTTCTCTATTGATGAACCATCTTCACTTCCAAGTTTATTTAAAATAACCTTCGTTTCACGCAGTCTGGTTGCATAGTCCTTTTTCCAACCTTCAAACATTTGTTTTAACCTTCTAAGCTCTCTGTCTGGGTTCAGACTTGCTTCAATTTGACCAGATTTTACCTCAACCAAGAACTTGGCATCATCACCAAACACTTGACTCCTTTGCTCAAATTCTTCAGCCAACCGGCTTATAACACTCAAACCAGCACTCATGGATCTTGTTCCACTGCTTTCTTGGCGTTTGTGATTATTTCCAATATCCCAGCTGTATTCCCTGTCCTCACTTGCATTAACGGAAGCATCCGAATTTCTATCGGAATCATCCATAGCAAGACTCTTCTTTGCAATGGAGAGGCTTGATTGTAAGGATCTCATTTGTTTTTGCCATACTTCTTCCATGGATTTCATTTTTAGTTCATATTCAGACCATCTGCTTTCATACTGTTGAAGTCGTTGATGAAGGATGTCATTTTCCTCTTCTTTCTCTCTCAGGCCGGCTTCTGCCTTAAGCACCCTGCGTTGTAATTCAGCTAGGAAAGAGGCCTTCACCAGAACCTCATCTGCTTCATTAGTCTGTTTTAGAGTACTTAATTGTCAGTATCACAAAGATGATGTATTTTTACTAGTAATCTGCGACAATAATTGTTTTGAAATATATTGTCTGAATTAGAAAAGAAAATACCTTCATGCCTCCAGGTTTTAAAAATCCTATATCTCCTGAGCATCTTCTGACTAACCATCCCCGAATAACTGCAAAATATAGCAAAAAAATTAATTATGAATACTTACCTATGAAAAACTTTGGGTACGCGTGCAGCACCTATGCTAGTCCATGGCCAACATTGATTTTCACATTCATTACATTTGCTCTAAAGAGGACAAACAAGTTTTCAACACAATGTTATATGGAACAAACTAATCTGTGTTTAGAGAACTATAAGTTCATACATGACTGTATGACAACTGCAGCATCAGTGGTCATTTTCATTCTGTTTCTTGCATATATTGTTTTCACGTGCTTCTGTATAATAACAGCCGCTCTGTGTCTCTGAAGCGAAGTTGCAAACTCCCTTCTGCTTTTCTCTCCTCTAATAACTGCATGAAAGGGCAAATAAGAAAAGTTCCCAGTTTGCTACACTTCTCAAAGAATATGACAGGTCAAAAGAATCAGGTGGAGTAAAGAAAATACATGACTGAAGAGTAGTGATTCCTCTCCAGAGTTCCTTGCGAAGACAACGAGCTTGATAACCCCTAAAGCAACTTTGTACACGTAAAATGCCATGGAGAGTACGATTTCTAGTATCTTCGAGCACTCCAATCTGCAATCGTGATCAATTTGAGCATAATAAATTCACAGTGCAGAAGAGAGTAATAAGAGTAATAATAAAATTCAAGGTCGGGCTTGGTGAATAAACTACTTGTACAGTTAAAAAGACACAGCGCGAAAGCATTTTCAACACTGGAAAAACATGGACCAGCTTACGCCAAATAATTCTGGGGTTCATCCAATCCAAGGAAAAAAATTGAGTAGGTCAAGTTAAAACTTAAGCTCTGACGATTAAACTATAGTAGTAAGAGTTCAAAATGACACGAAAATCCTTGAAAGCAAGAAGAAAGAAAATTATGCAAAATAGGAATAGTCTCAGTTAACGTAACCAAATAACCATGACCAGGCCTATGGTTTACAAAAGATACTGAATAGTTCATTACAGTATCTTCATAAAGGAATCAAAGGCTCAAAACAGTACTAGAAGAAAGACTAATTCATTTGAAGCCTAAATCACTAAAGCCAGACGCTAAGTTTCTTCACTGCACCATACCTATGTAAGCTGAATAAAATGCCTAAAATAAAAGTACAAGGAGATAACCAGAGATTTTAGATCTAAAATAACTGATTCCATTCACTTTTAACTTTTTAAGTTAAAAACTATAGGTACATGAGATCAGCACAACCGTGTTTATCACCACCACATCAATTTGAATTAAATGAAAGAAATAACTTGTAATAAACACCATATAAACTTCTTACCTGCCCAGTTCGGAAGAATAGTTTTGTGTAGCCAACTTGATACATCTCAGGTAAAATGTTAAACTGATGAAGAATAGCAACAGAAACACTAAGTGGATCTTGAGATGCATCATTTTCAAGGAGAAGAAAACCATATCTGATTCACCATTCCCAATACAATAAGAAAAAGGTCAGAAATGTGCAAAAAATGGGACTGGCTTGGAGAAGGGGGGTAGAAAACACTGTATTTATTTCTTTGTTATACCTTTTCGCAAACTTTTGGTGAGACATTCTAGTGGGAAAGCCTGATCGGGATATTCGAACCACTTCTAGGACCCCGCAACATCTCAACTGCTGTAGCACAAGTCCTTGCTCATATGATCCAGGTGATTGGAGATTATTGGGCTTAATGCAGCGAATAAAATGAGGGGTGGTACTCTCTAAACGTTGCATCAGTTGAAACAATTGTCCCTGGGTGCCATGCCAACAGGAATGTCTTATTAGGGCAAATCACAAATTTATTATCAGTGTCAAAACTTTCCCTAACTTTAAATTTAGATTTCATTAAGTTAGCTTCAACCACATTATACCAAATATAATTAATAAACAGAAGATTCTTGACACAATGGTAGGAGTTACTACTCATTGTTAGAATTATATATTCATAGATTGATAGAGAGAGAATTCTCAACTAAATTCCTCTATTTTTTGTTTTGTATTTTACTGATATGAGCTACAAGAGGTGTGGTCTATTTATGGACTCACACAGCTAACTAAATCTGTTACTTAGTTTCCTAGATCTTAGGAGTTAGTTTCCTAGATACTAGAGATTAGTTAGAAACAGTTAGGCGAGGCAAGTATGCTGTGCAGCTAGTGCACTATAGTTACAATACGAATTATACTATATTATTTCCTTAGTTATTCACCAATCTCTTGCGAGTCCGAGGTAAGACAGTCATGGTGGGAGCTTTATATCAAAAGCACTTGATTAATTCATTTTAATGATTTTCTTTAAATATTTTATCTCATTTATATTTTTCAATTTAAAATATCTTGCAATGCATCGGATACCTTCTACTTTGTAACAATTAAATTAAAAGAATTAATGGCTGAAAGGCCATGTCACACCTATCATTAGCATCATTGATATTCAGACGAGACCATATTTCTTTCTCCAACAGAAGTTGCAAATTTTGCATGGCTTGATGTGAGAGAATAATCTACGCTGATTCATGGCTGTATAGTCATCTAGTTGTAGCTACTAAGTTAACTATTTTCCAGTTACAACTGAATAACCAACTCTTAGTTGTCACTTCAGCATCTGTAATGAGTCTTCTGACTTTATAAAGTCACTATTCAGAAAATACATTTTCTCATAATCGGAGGTTTTCCTTTTTCATTTTCTCAGTTTCTGTTTTGGAATAGATGATCAAAGATGAATATTTTCAATAGCATACTAAAAAAACAAAAACAAACATACATATTGAATGGGAGGACCAAAACATCAATTATCCAACTACCAGACCGTTTCATGATACATTTTGGAGAAAACTAAAGTTGCGTGTTTGTACCTTGAATTTTGTGGCAACACTTAGCTTTTGGGAATCTGCCCCGCCTAACTTGTGCAAGGGACCAACTACAGGCTTCTCAGACTGAGTAAGCATATAGGATGCAAATATCTGAGGAAGATGACATTTGCTTGAGGATAAAAGTTGGATGGAATCCACGTGCAATAGGTCCCTATTCTTCTCCAAGAATGCAGTTGTATCATAAGTGACCTGATGGGAAGAACAAGTGAAACTATCCAACTGTCAGGTAACAAGCAAATTTAAATCAACAAGAAATAGGTACCTTAGCTATTAAGAAAAACAATTTTATCTGGAGTTCAAAATATCATGTATGGAAGCACAATCAAACTCACAGTTATTAGCTTATAGTAGAAAACAAAAAGTCATGGTCAATATGTTAACTAAAATGGATCAAATATGAAATAAATTAGAGTTTTCTAAACCTTAAAACTTAGTTCTAACACATTATAAAGCTCATACCAAAATGAAACTCAAAATCCATTGTAATGTGAATCTCAGAACTGTCTATATCTTAAGGCAATTAACAAGCACTATGAATAAATAGAAAGAAGTGTATATCATAGGACCTTGATCAGATTCATACCTCTCCTGCATAATGACGCACAGTGAAGGCTTTTTCTCGTTCTCCTTTGAAGCATGAATTAGAATTCAAATGCTGCTTAAGCTTGTTGGCAAATGTTAAATCAGTACCATTTGGAAAAGTAGACTCTTCATCTAACAAGGATAGTAGCCCCAGTGGTTTCTGCACAATTTTCAAAAGTGAAGTCTCTAAGAAAATAATTTCAAATTTCTTATAAGATTTGGCATTTTCCCGCAGCAAAGAAATAGGTAGTTCCAAAACCAATCACGCATTGTTAGGATTGAGGATCTCACTGAAAAAAGAAAAAGGAAAGAAATATCTCCAGAGGAAGTTTTGCCAATACCTTAAGACCAAATCACATCCCAATTCCCAAATATGTAGTACAATAGCAGAAAGAAACAACTAATGGAAGTATAGCATGTTATGCGGAAAGTTTAGCATATATATAAACTAAACTTAGTAGAAATAGAATCCTTAAATCTTGGACATATGAAAGCATGTGATGGTGTTGGGCATAATATGACATGCCACTCAAACAATGTAAAATGATGTATGCATCGACCCCAAATTCCAAATATTCAATCATGCATCAGAGTATGTATGGTTTCTATAGGGAATAACTAAAAGTCCCATGTTGGCTAGAGATGAAGCCTAGATAAGGGACTGAGGAGCTTTATACCTTTTCAAAAAGATTAAGGCAGTCTTGGTTGTCTTCAAATTCAACTTTAGCCCAGTCAATTCCATCTTGGATATATTCCTGGAAAAAATTGGTAAGCATGAAATGTTTTTTATACCTGGTGTTTAGCTTTAAGTGGTAAGCTTAATATGGAGGTGTTCAATACTTTCAATTAAAAAGAAGAAAAAAAGACCAGTAATGAATTCCCTGATGTTTTAGTTTCTAAAAAGTATTGAAATTTTTTTATAAGCCAGAGCACAAAGAAAATTGAGGAGCAGAAAAAAAGTCGTTTAAACAAGATGAGGGGATAATCATACAGAGCTATGAATCCATAGCAGAAAAATTGTTGGTTTATTATTCAAATTTTTAACAATAACTCATATTTGAATGAAAAAGTATATGTCTATTAGCATCATCATCTGATGTGATTTGTTTAAGCAGTCTGTTTCTATATGGTGCATACCTCCTGTTCTAGCTTGAACAAATGACGATTGAAGTGTTGCTGTAATCTTTCATTTGCATAATTTATGCAGAACTGCTCAAAACTGTTCCTCTGTATAAAATGCACAGAATTCAGTGCAGAAAATATTTCAAAATTTAAATTTTAAATAGTATAAAACAGATATATGAAGAAAAGAAGAGTTTTGGTTTAATGTAACGTACATTGAATGACTCAAAGCCATATATATCTAGAATACTGATAGATCTGCCAGTTCTTCTTTTGCCAACAGCTAGTGATTTGTTTATTTGTTCGATCAGCCAATCAAACAGACATGCATAAATAGACTTCGCCAAAGCATCTCTTGCATCACTAGCCTACGTAATAAAAAAATTTAACATTTAAGACAAGCCTAATGCATCAGTAGAGGGCACAGGTATGCTTAATATTTAAAATTTCAAAAACCAAAAGGGATTTCTTAGAAAGAAAACTGAATGAGGCAATGTTCATTACCCATCAAGTTTTCTTTCTAAATTCCATTATCTTCTAAAACAAGTTAAGCAAACTGGCATATGATAATTGCAAAATTCAATACATATTTATGTAGCAATGATTTTCACTCCTAGGAAGTTGCACTTAGTCCCTCCATAGTCATTAACAAAGGTAATTGTCAACACAGTTGTCATTTTACCTGAGATAGCGTCAACTTCTGGACAATAATATCATTACCAACTTTCATTTTGCGAGTTGATAAAGTCAACTTCAGATCTTCAATTTCACATCCAATCAACTTGGCAGTGCTGAACAGCCCTTTAAGAAATCAGGGAACATAATCCTTTTTAATTGATGTATACATTAACTTATAAAGCATGAACGCATCTAAAATTTCTATGCAGCGGAAATCATGTATCAAGTGTAATAATATATCTAAGCAATTGCTCTAGTTATCATCAAATGTAAGCATGCTTGAGTTACTATATGATTCTTAAATCGTAACTTCATAAGGGCGGTAAATCAATGATTATCAATCAATAACCATATGAACAAATGAATAAAGAGGGAACCTTAGAAAACTGCAACTTTATCTCCAAACATACATTTCCTCTTCACTAATTTACAAGGAATTTTTAAAAAAAATGTAAAATGCTAAAAACTGTTCTCATCTCATGTAAGAAAGGTCTTGAGATTAACGAGTTAGATAGAAACATGGTCTTTGATAGAACATTATGGCATAATTTATCCATATAGCCGACCCCACTTAGTGGGATAAAGCTTGGTTGTTATTATTGTTGTTGTATCCCAAGCCGAAAGCAGTAGACAGAGTTTTTGCATAAAAAGGAAGTTTTATGGGGAAAAAATCTATGATTTATATTCCATCAGTAGAGATTCTGGAAATTCTTACCCTCATCCTCAACGGCTTGAATATGATTTTCATTATCGATCACAGTAAATGATATGTTTCCCAACCATAACACTGCAGCAAGCATTGCAAATACATTCTCCTGGTCTCCTTTGCTAATGTGAACAACATCTAGAGCATCCTATATTTCATGAGTTTGCCAAGCATTATGCAAAGCAGAAATAATTATAAATAAAAAAATCATACAATATAAACCTATATTGATGCAGATCATCATTAAGCAATAAGCAATCAAAAATAGAGTTTACCATGACTATACGAAATTCTTCTGCATCATCAACGCCAGTAATTGAATAACAATTGCTCTGCCTCAGATATTTATAGTCTTCCACACTTTGTAGATTTAGCTTCTCTGAGGAATAAAAAAGGCAAATAAGCAAATGTGAAGAACTTAAATATTACATAAAAAGAGATGCTCGATATAAAAATCTTGTATCATTAAAATTTAATGACCACTTATTTAAGGATATCCTCAAATAAAAGGTTTAACAAATATTCACCATCCATCACATGTAACAACTACATTAGCAGAATAGAAGGTAAAAATATCCCATTACCCCTGAGAGATGGTGGTGCTCCAGCACATAGCTGATAAAATATATGATATGACCTTTCCCCTTCATTGCATTGGACTACTCTAGACTGTTCATATACCAAATAAAACTAATATCAATTGATATTGCATGAACATAATTTGGAATGTAAAATTAGCGCAGAAGATCGAATTACCTTCTCCAACAAAACTGTTCAAGGTATGGTCATGCCAGGAGCATCACATAGATTCCACACATTGAGGCAGACATTTAACAAGATTAGTTGGAAAGCTTTAGTGGAAGGAAGACACATGGTATGAACTTTAATGAAGTAGTAAACTTACATGTTTGAATATTAGCACCAGATATTTTTCCTGTTTCACTGAAGTGAATCTCAATGAGTTTTCCCTGTAACGTTCAATCAGATTAAGACAGCTTTCAGCACCAAAAGAGAATAAAATTGAAACCATCAAGAACAGACCAAATAAAAGAATCAATACATATAGGGTTAGACAATCTTACAAAACGACTTGAGTTGTCATTTCTCAATGTTTTTCCATTTCCAAAGGCTTCCAGTATTGGATTAGTCTTTAATATTTCATGCTCTATTCCACTTCCACCACCAAGGGCAGCCAGGTATTGCATTGCTATTTTTGCTGTCTCAGTCTTCCCTGCTCCACTCTCTCCACTGAATATGTAGATTATAATAGTTATTATAGGTCCCGGTTCAAAAACAGCACAAGGCCAAGGAAAACCAATTTGAGCTTGATATTAATGACAACCATCAGGCAGCATAAAGAAGCGTTATGTCTATCAAGGTTAATCAAAGAGTGCAAAATAAGAAGATCTTCTCTGAACTTTTATGGAACCAACAGAAAAAGGAATCCATGGTAAGAAAACAAACTTATTTTTGGAAATAAAAACATTTAACCACTCAAGCAGTAACTTATTCTTCGACCGCTGGAAACCGCTTGACCGGTCATTCATTCTTAACCATAAAATACATTGACAAATCATTTCTTTTTCATACTTCCTGAAATATTTTTAGCCTAATCACTCACTTCATTCAAGAAAATTGCAAGATGAAAGAATCTCATATTTCTTATACAATGAAATGTTTACTGAGGTCTTAAGATACAAATTATATTCAAGAATGAACACAATAAGCATGGCACATTTCAGTTCAAAATCTTGAGAAAAACTTAAGTGGACCCCACATGGGAGCCTTGCACACTGGAGTGGACCACTCATTAAACATGAAGGAGTATAAGAATAACACTAGTCTTCAAGTAATAAGTGCACAAGTCGCAACTGGAAAGAAATTCAGATGGAAACATCTTATAAAAAGGGAAAAATAGAATAATCAGCTGTGCAAAAAAGAGCTCAACACAAAATACAGTACCTTATAATTATTGATTGGTTAACTTCATCTGCAAATAAGTGCAAGAGTCGGAGTAAGAAGTTATAGCTTAAAACAAATGGAAGTGCGTAACTTCTAAAAATTGATCCATATATCTAAATAAAAGAAAGGAATAAGTTACCCCGTATTATCTCTCTGATCCATATATGTAAATATTAGGGAAAAAAAAGTTACCCCGTGTCATCTCTCTTATGGCTGAGTCTGTAATTGCATACACATGAGGGCTTTCATTTGCTTTACGCTTGTAGGCTTCAATATAGTCAATACCGTACAGAGGAACTTTCTTAAAGGGATTTACGGCCACCAAAACAGGCCCTGCTTTTGTCTGAATTGCACACAGTTAGGTGCATAAATATTTTGCGATTGACAAACAAAATCGAAGAGAAAAACTTCAGAGATGCAAAGACTTACATAGATCATATTTTGATTGTATCTATGTTGCAGGTTGTATAAAACTGACGGTTCATTTAAATAACTAAGTTGCATCAGGTCATCCACTCCATCAAGAATATCAGGATTTGCCGGTACCAAACTTTCATCTTTCACTTTTGAAACCTATAATTAAGTGGAAAAGATTACATATAGCTATCAAACCAAAAGATGCAATCCAATCTAGAAAAAATGTTGTGTAACTTGTCTTACTTTCCCATCAGGCAGTGAAATGACAGATTCTGCTCCAGAAGCTGATATTATCTTTACCAGTTCCCAATCCCCATTAGAAAGTTGAAACCAAGACTGAAGCTTCTGAAACAGCAAATAATATTTTTAAAACAGCCTATTGACTACTAACAGTGAGAATTCAAACAAAACTAGGAAATAAATTTTAAAAAACACATCAGCTTTCAAACTCATCATATCAAAGAAATTGAAAAGAAAATAAATATTTTACTCAGTTACTTAAACTCTATTTTTAAAGCCAATGCCATAGCCGAGTAGAATTATGAGAATGGCCAGACAGAAAGTAATGATGTCGATTCAGCTAGTTTACCAAGACACATACTCCCTCTGTCCCAAATTATAAGAGAAATTTACTTTTTAGATTCATTAAATAATTAATGTATCTGGTCTATACATTAATTATTCAATGAATCTAAAAAGTGAATTTCTCTTATAATTTGGGACGGAGGGAGTACATATGAAGAGATGGACAAAAAGATACATTCTCGGATGGAAGTACTAGAAATCAACTAACTAATATAAATTTCTTTAGTTTAACTTCTCTATATCATGGTAGTTACTAAAGAAGTATAATTATTTAGATTAATCATACTTCTATTTTGGTTTATTGTGATTTTCATAGGAAGTATACTTATGATATTACTTAGACAATCAAGGAAGTAGGTCTAAAGAATTAAGGATATAATCAGAGTCATACTAGTCCTAGTAAATTCCAGTTATTCTACTGTAACAAACCCTAACTCCCTTCCCCTCATTCATTTGTTTAGAACTGCATTACCTACCATTAACCTTCAATATTTCAGCTGATTTTTAGCATGCTTCAAATCTCACACTCAAACCAAAAGTAGAAACTATAGAATATGAATTATTAAGCCCTGTGAATCCAATGTTTCCTATTATTGTTTCTTTTTCCCTATTTGATACTCATATGTACATGAAAAATAATCACTCAGCAATACGTTAAGCATCGCTTATTGACACACTCACAGTAACTGTGAGATGTTCTTGTACTTCTGCTAGCCCAAGCAATTAGAACACCCATGACTTTGGAAGTATATAGCACCAAAGCAAATATATCTATACTACAGGATATATTAAAATGGCAGTAATGCAAAAGAAGGTAACTAATATATAAGTCTGGCAAGACCTTTCATATATGTATGTTTGTCTACAATAATTTTCAGCCTACCGTCTGATAATCAGCGTTCAGCAATAACTAAATGAATTAAATTATTATGCACAGGTATTATAACTTATTTAAAAAACCAGTAAATTAGAATTGTAGTCTGATGCCTAATTTACCTTCTTTGAAGCATAAGGAGTTGTATCACTCCACCTGCTTTCCCTAGAGGACGTTGAAATTGACGGTTGGGGCAACAAAGCAGATATTGAGTCTTCATTGGCATACGGCGGCCTGTCTTCAAATGATTCAGCGTTTCCACCATAAGGAGATTCTTCGTCAAAGAGATCCATGTCGCCAGCACTGTTATTGGCTTCCTTAGAAACCTCCCCCGATATTACACCATTTTCACGACCATTTGATCGAATCAGATCATTGCTTCTCAGTTTAACATTTCCATGCTTCTCCACTTGACCAGCGTTTCGATTATTATCATACTTGTACTCAGGTGGCAGCGACTTAATGGACTGAAAAGCACGTGGGACACTGGTTGTCCGAGACATCTTCCTTTAAATAGTTCTGTCACAACCAAAACTAGCTATAATTAAAAACAGCAATAACTAGTTGCAATGCTAAAAAAGTGATATCTTTGATTTTTTTCAAAAAGTTTAACTTTTCAATCAAATGGCCCTTTCAAACTTTAAATCAAGACCCCCAACGGAACAGGATAACATAATGGAGGGGACCATAGCTCAAAGATACAGCCTCCACTGTCTACTCTCTAGTACTCCAATCCAAACTTTATGCGGTCATCGACACATTAAACATCATTCTAAGCTGTAAAACTCATAACATGAACCTAACATAGCCTAATCTAAGGACCCATGCAAAATAGAACTTTTCATTTACTCAAATTGGAAAAATTGAAATCTAAAGAAAATTTCCCAATCCAATGCTCGAATGATGAATTCCTATCAAAGTTGAAAAAACCTTCCACGGTAGTTCAACTTTATCTTTTGAAAATGCTGCAACATTCACACCAAACCAAAAAAAAAAATATCTATCGTTCTACTTTTGAATATCGATCTCCTAGAAAATAAAAAATCATCAAGTTGAAAATTTGAATTTGAATTCATCGTAAATAAATATATAAAAAAACTAAAATAGCTCAATAAATAAACAGAAATTCAAGATAATTAATTATTCAAAGTAACGATTTTAAAATGTAGAACTAGAAAATGCTAAAAATAGTAAAAAGTGAAAAACAAAGAATAAGTCCAATTTTGGTGAAGCAAAATCGATTAACTAACCTCAGAAGCTGAAAAAAGCAGAAGCTGAGTTACAGAGAAAAACGATTAAGTTAAGATCTAGTTGAACCGAGTTAACGTTGAACAATTCGTTGAGCAACGACTGAGTCAAAACTCGGAACTCAGTTTGATGTGATAAATAAAATGTGTTCGCGGAAGAGGCTGAGCCACACGAAGAGAAAAACGATTAAGGCTTTGTTTGGTTGGTCACCACGTATGGTAGAAGAAGATGCAAGAAGGAGCTTTTTTTGCTTTTCTTTTTCACTCTTGTTGTTTAAAGTGTTAAGACAAAAATAGTAAAACAAACAAGGGAGAGCGAGGGAGATTAATTTTAATTTTTTTTGGACCATATATTATTAAAGTTAATATTATTAAATTTTAATATGCTGAGTCATGAGGATTTCAAATTTTGTTGGATTTTTGAAGAGATAATTTTAAATTTAAATTATAAAGTGCGCGTTTTTCTTTGCCAACCGATTTTGAAGAGAAAATTCAGCCACAACAATAAGTTTTTTTTGTTTGAACCAACTGTATTGTTTATTGACGAAACTACCCTTGTGATGGATGATGGTGGTGGCCGCTTGCAGGCGGCTTAAGTACGCAGTAATCAACTAGTAAAAAACCTGTTCCGTTGACATGGATTTTAAAATATTATATAATTATAATTAAGAAATTTATATTAAGATATATACAAATTAATAGAAAAAAAATTACAACGATGATTGTTATTGAAATATTAACTTAATTTATCAAGTGGTAATAGTTGTCAAAATATACATATAAATTATATTAAAAAATATAAGTATACGATGTAGTATATTTTACACAAACATATATAAAATTGATTATATATCCGTGTATCGCACAATATCGTTATATATCTGGATTGGGCCCGCACTTGCCTCGCTGTTGGGGAGGCCCAATCCAACACTTTTGCACAAGGCCCAAAAGCAAACGGCCCAAGTTGGGCACCGTTGGGCAACTCCCCGTGTATCCGTTGGAGAACGTGGCCCACGTGACCTTATCGTCACCACCTTTCTGTGCTCCGAGAATACCGGATCCAACTCCTGCTTTCTCGGGGCAGCCAACCAGGGGGAGGCCACGTGTTAGCCTCCATACACACGTAAGTCCCGACAGTCTTCTTTATTAGGCCTCATCGTAGTCAAACACTGAAGACCTTGGTCCAGCGCTGGAGGCTATAAATACTCTCTCCTTTGAGAGGGACAAGTATTCATTCTCTCATACTCATACTCACACTTGCTTGCACTCTCCCTGAAACTTACTTTGGCATCAGAGTGTCTTACAGGTATCCCCATCTCGTTTTCAACTTCAGCTCGACGTAAGGCCTTGACGATCCATTCTGGTCCGGTACGATCAGTGGCGCCATCTGTGAGAAACTAGCTTCCCCGTCATTCATTTATCTAAGACAAAAGAAACTCAAAAATCTTGATTGTCATGGTTGAACCAGCCGCCAACAACATCTTAGACGCCCATCTCGTCGACCCAAACAACAACGTCGTCGATAACATGGGCAACAACAACAACAACGGGAACGGGAACAACGACGACATGGTCGTCTCATGCAGAATTATAAAGACGGCATGACTGCCTCTTCCTTATCACGCTCTCGACCACACAAGGGCACCCATCTTCCCCAGAACTACGAGTCGAACGCTTTCCAAGAGCCCCCCGTTCCACCAGGCGTTGATGCCACGACCAGGGCTCTGTTCACGGCAATTAACTAGACGAATTACCTTATCTTCTCACAAGGTGAGCGATTAAGTGAGCTCGAAGACTCTCATCGAGCCCCCAGAAGACATAGAAGACCTGACACTCCACCTCCCCTTCAAGATGAAGAGCATCTTCAATCTCCCCCGCGAAGACACAGACGGGACAGGTCGTGGAGCCTCTCTCCCCGACAGACTGGCCGACTCCCCGTGATGGAGAAAATCATGCCCGAGGCTACCGGTAGATGTGCCCCCCCACCCCCCGCGCAGGGAACAATGATCCCCTGAAAACAGAAACAGGGGCAACGTAGAAACGCATCCTCGACCAAGGGATCCTCCCTGAGGCCAAAGACATCGCTATGACCGCCACTACAACTGGTCCCCTTCCCACTTCCCCTACAGGAGTGACGAAGATGACCCTCACGGCCCCTTGTCGTAAGCAATCATAGAGGCGCCCATTCCCAGGGGAATGGAGAAGCCTCCTCAACTGAAGGAATATGATGGCATTGTTGACCCAGTCAACCATATCAAAGGGTTCGAAGCAATGCTCCATTATCATAATGTCGCAGGGCCAATCAAGTGTAGGTTGTTCCCCATGATCTTGAGGAAAACTGCGATGAACTGGTATAAAAATCTCCCTCAGGGTCGATCACCTCCTCCAGGAACCTGAAGAACCATTTCATCAACTCCTTTACAACATCTCGTCGGCACTCGAAGAGTGAGGCCACCCTTGAGGCTATCGTCCAAAGGAGCGACGAAACCCTCAGGGAGTTTATTGATTGGTTCAACTGCGAGGCCATTCAGGTCCCGTGCACCGATCACATGAAGAGATATTTGCTCGAAAGTGGACTCCTATTGGGCACGGAGTTCAGGAAGTCCATTGGCATCGAACCACCCCGGACATTCAATGCTCTCCTTGAAAATACTAGGGCCTATATGGACTATGAGGAGAGGGAAGCGGCCAACAAAGCCCGCGGCCCAAGGAATCGCAGACTAACCACCGCCCCGCGACACCAGGATGCAGGACTTCCTCGACGAAAGGGCGAGAAGAGAAGGGACGACAAGCCATGTGATCCCCGCGAGCACAGGGGTCCCGCGGGGAGATTCACTAAATACACTCCTCTGACCGCTTCCAACGAGCGTATCCTAGCAGAGTGTTCCAATACCGACTTTAAGGACGGCAGAGTCAGATGTCCTCGACCTGCTCCCGTGAAGCTCGGGACTGATCGGAGCAAATATTGTCAGTACCACCAGAGCCACGGGCATCTGACTGAAGATTGTGTCCATCTCAAAGACGCCATTGAAACCTTCATCAAGGGTGGCAGACTCGGGTAATATCGACACAATGACGCCCCTCTTCGGGATGCCCGCGAGACAAAAGAGGTTGAGGAAGACACTCGACCATCGGATGAAACGGCCCCCATCCAAATAGCCTTCTCTGTTACAAGGCCGAAGGACTTCTACGTCCCCGACAGACACAAAGAAGAACCTCTATCCATGCACAGTAGGTTGGAAAATTTCCCCTCCGCCATGGTTATAATTGGCGGGGGGTTCAACAGCATCTCCATAAACTCCGCAAAGAGGAAGCTCGATAAGTTGGTCGACGCAGCCCCGACTCAAGCGGTGACATTTGAGAAGGTCAAGGGCAGATCATAGCCAATCATATTCTACCTCGAAGAGTTTCCCGGAGGGGCCCCTAACTCGAGCATCCCTCTTCTGGTAAGCGTAAGAATGGCTAATTTCGACGTTCACCATGTCTTGGTCGACGAAGGGAGTTCCGTCAATATTATGTACAACCATCTGTTCCAAGCCTTGCAGCTCGACGACACCCACCTTTCATCATATGTAGGGTCTGACCTGTAAGGCTTCAATGGCTTGACCTTCAAACCATGGGGTACGTGGAGCTTTTCGTCACCTTCGGGGAGGAAACTGCCGCCCGGTAGGTCAAGGTGAGATTTCTGGTCATCGATTGCGCGTCTCTTTACAATTGCATCCTCGGGAGACCAGCGTTGGCCGAATTGACTGTTGTCCCCTCCACCGTCCATCTAAAGATGAAGTCATGCACGAAGAGGGGACGTGTCGCCACCATCCACGGTGACATCTCAGCTGCCCGAAGATGTTTCAACACAACTTCAAAGGGACAAAGCACGGTTGACACTGGGGCACGACCTGCTAAGAGAGCTGCTACTGCTCTACCTGAGCCATAACCCATCAAGACAGAAGAACAAAGAGCTCCACCCAAGGTCGACTTCATCTTGCTTGACACCCGCTTCGACAAGGATGAAGCATCCAATGGTGAACAGGAACTCCTTAGACCAATCCCATACGGAGACTTCGAGTTCGTCCCCCTCGATGAAGATCGGCATCAGACTCCCCAACCTGGCGAGGAAGCAGATCAAAGCTTACTTGAGGGAGAACATCGACTTGTTCGCATGGAGGGTCGCGGAGATGCTTGGACTCGACCCTGAGGTCTCATGTCACCACTTGGCCATTGATCCAGCCGCTAGGGCAATAATACAACGTAAACGT